TTGCTTTAAAAAATACTAAGAGGAGGACTAAGGGTGACAGAGCTTTTGCCACTGTGGCCCCGAGACTGTGGAGCTCTCTCCCCCAAACATTAAGAACTGTGGACTCAGTCGCTGTTTTTAAAAAAACAACTCAAAACTCACCTTTTTAAAACTGCTTTTAGTTAATTTTTTGCCTGTTTTTATTTTCTCTTTTTAAATCTTTTTATGACTTGTAATCTTATGTGCAGCACTTTGTGATTCTGTCTTGAAAGGTGCTATATAAATAAAAATGTATTTAGTTATTTATTATTTAGTACTAAGTGGCATCTGCAGCTCTCCTGCAATGAATGCAGTGTTTAATTGAGGAATGCTTTCAGCTGAAGTCCTGTGGTCAGTCCTTCTCTGTAGATCAGTGTGAGAAAACATGCTCTAACCTCAGTGAGTCACTCTGAATCTGGATGCAATCCCGTTCCTGGAAAACAAAATAAAAATATACCCAGCAGGCCTCTGGTTTCTCCACCTGGGAAACAAAAGCACAGCCCTTCCTCTTTTTGTCTCACTTTTTATTTATCTGACAGGAAGCTGAAGCTGCTGTTAGGACGTTTTTGGTCAGATCAGGCTTTAATGTCACTACACTTTCACACAGGCATGAAACTTTGATCGTGTATTTACTTTGCTGCCGATCCGTAGTCAAACATGAGCGCCCGAGTTTCTGTTTGTTCTCCTGTCACATGACTGGTGATGATCTGACTATCTTGTGAGTGTGTGTGTGTTGTGCGTGTTTAAAGAGTTTTAAAGAAGTACTCCCTTGTTATTAATCCTCATCCACAGCTCTGTGTGCAGTTTGAGGCCTTGAACAGGATCAGGAGACGCTGAGGCTTCTTAGAAATCTCTGACTGTTTTCTGTTGTATTCTTTATTTCCTCTTTTACTTTGAAGTTCTCTGTTAATTTAGCTTCCTGCTGGTTTCCTGATTATTTTTTCCTTCTGCAATGTTTCCTGTGTTTCACTTTGTCGGGTTTCCCTTCGCTCCTCTTGGTTGTTTGGATATATTTTTTGACTCTTTCTCAGTTATCAGTTTATTTTGTCAGTGAGATTCTACATTTGATCCCTCTAATCCTCTCATGACACAATCAGTGTTTTTATCTTCTGTAACTCAAAGTTTTAATCGGAAATATAGAAGATTAATCAGTTGTTATGGCTTTTTATCATTAATAAGAGGTTTTTGTTTTATTAAGAATACAGCCCTTCCTGCATATTCGCACACCTTCCTAAAACATGACTCGTGATGCTAATCATGCTGCTGTTGGTTAGGGTTGTATAGTGGCTAAATAGTGTTGAAATGTTAAATATAATGTCCATGGTTATTATGGTGAAGTCTCTTCCTTTAGACTGACCTCCAAATTCAGACAGACTCATTTGATGTGTTGTGGTTGAAATCAAATTCAACATAACCAGATATGTTTTTGATACCATCTGAATTCACTTACTGTAACATCAACAATCTGTCTGTGCAGTAAGTGAAGGCGGTTATTGATTGGATGTGTCAAGCTGCGATTCCCCATTCCATGGTCACATGGTGTGAACAGTCATTTCACATAAAACTGTAATATTAGAACAATATAAAGAGGTTCAGTACGCTACACAGACTGTGGGTGTGTGTGAGGAATAAGGTCAGTAAGACCAACGCCTGCAAGGGAAGGCAGCAAACCTGTGAGTCAATACGACATGACATAATTACAAGTGAATGCAATGGTGATGCTGTTTTCCAGTCTTTTCATGTTTTGCATATGTTGATAAACTTTACAACACTTCATAGGAGGCTAACTAATGAAACCCCTTATCCTTCCTCACAGCACAGCGCTCTGATAGTGAGGAGGACTCAGTGATTATATATCGTGTAAATGCTGTTTGTGCTTCATTGTAAAGCATTTTGTTTCTGTGCAGGAGGATGGCGGTGCCGTACGAGGGTCAGTCTTTCTCTGCTCTGAGGAGGCAGTGCCAGCATCAAGGAACTCTGTTTGAAGACCCTCTGTTCCCCACCTCCGACCAGTCTCTGTTCTACCAGCGAAACCAAATTGGGCGAGTCACCTGGAAAAGGCCAAATGTGAGTGAAAATAATGTTTTACTGAGAGGGGAAGTAGTAGTGCTGCACAATTATTCTGATACGTATTATATACATGTGGAAAATAATACTAATAATGATGACAGATGATATTTTGCAAAGTAAAATCAGTCAGGTTAGCAGTATTTTAAAAAATATATTTTCTTTGATGGTTTGCATCACATAACAGGCCAGAAAACAAACACAGTTGTGAGGTCTGTTTCAGTGTCTTTAAATATCAGCTACAGCTGCTCATATAACCCTGAGATGAGGTATAAAAGAGAATAAGCCCTCACAGAGTCGTTATAAAAGGGGAAACTATCCATAGAGGCCAGTCCTGCTTTTAGTCACACACTTTAAAACATGTTTATTTCTGCTGAAAAGGTGGTCATTTTAACATGGGAGCTATGGGGACTGAGTTTCTTATAAAGGCAGCCTCAAGTGGCCACTAGAGGAACTGCAGTTCTCAGTGTTTGCTGCTTGTTTCCATCTTTTACAGCTCAGTGGGATCAGCTGCATAATCATCCGTGCTGGCAATCTTTTGTAGAGCTCTTATTTTATGCCTGTGTGAAAGAAGAACGCAGTAAACTGAAAGAAGGTGGAGAGTTAGCGATACATCAGAGATGAAGGGTCAGCTGTTTATTCACAGTGGAGACGGACAGAGGCAGTAGGCTGGGAATGGCGGTGGTGATCATGAGACAAGGCTCCATATAAAGAGAGGAGAGGTTAAAGGGGCTGAATGGGAGAGGAATTCATGGAATTTCAAGCCAGCAGCAAGGAGGTGTGTGTGTGTGTGCGTGTGTGTGTTCATGTTGTAAGCAGTTTCTGGTAGTTACTGAACAAAAGGAACTTGAATTTACTTTTCTATTGTGACCGGTGTGAAGTGCTTTACAACTGGTCGTCTTCACACTCACCCTGAGCAAAAAGCACCTTCTGTGAAGCTTTTGACTGAGTTGTTCCTGTTAAATATAACAGTTAAATACAACTGTGACTAGGGCTGGGCCATATTATACCGTTCACGGTAATATCGGTACAATGTTAGGCAACGATAAGAAATATCGAGATAGAATATGGGTAAAACGCGCATGCGCAGTGCCTTTGTTTTCAAAGGGGAAAAGCGGATTGTTGAGTGAAACAGATGAACCAGATTTGGTTTTTAAAAATGGTGCAACTTCACTGTGGTGGATAAATGTTTAATGTTGCCTTAATTCCATGTTGGATTTGTTTAGAATCCTTAAACTGCAAAAGTGCCTCTTACCAGAGGCTTTGAGTCAGCCCCACTGAAGGAAAGCTTTATGCAGTGGAACAGCAGCTGTTTAAGTTCAGATGCTGGCTGAACATCGTGCTCGTAATGGAATTGTTGCTTAACAGATTTCCAGCCTCGCTCTGCTGCTGTGTACAGAATCTGTGCTCGGCCTTTCACGTTAATAACGTGAAAGTCCGAGTCAAAAGATTAATTTCTTTCTTGTCTTGTGATTTTATTTTATTTTTCTTGACCTGCATAAAATCTAAATGCACTGCTCTTTAAGTGCTTCTCATTGAGTCTTATTTGATTAAATGTGTAATTTTCTGTCTTCCTCTAGGCTTGTAGTGTATATACTCTATGAAAGAGTGATTTCTGTGTATTTCGTATGCTTTTACTGTTAATTATTCATGCTAAATTATTAAACAGAGCACTTAAAGCATTTGGTCAGTATTATTGATTTGTTCAGGGAGTGGAGAGATAAGGGAAATATTTCTTTGGTTACACCCTAAACGTAACCCTGACTTCTCTGTGGTGTCTCGTGAAACTTTAGCACTCAATATCAATGCTTCAGCTCCAGCACTCAAAAGACAGCTGTATATTTAAACCAGTGATCATATCAAGAGCTTATTATTTCAAGCTCTATAAGGCGGCAACCTCGAGGGTTAAAAAGTGAAGTGCCCCAGCCTGCAGTTCCTCTAACGTCCACTTGAGGCTGTGTTCAACAGAACGGGTCAGTCCATATTAAAATGTCTCACTTCAGAGCAGAAATAAACAAGTTCACGACCTGGTACAAAAACTAGCTTTGGTTTCTGTGGATAGTTTTCAGCTTCAGCTCTGGGAGGGCTGAGCTGTCTGTCAAATCATCTGCTGTGGCTGCTTTGATAAAGGGGCTGATGCTAACCAGGTATAACAAAGTGGATCTGTCGACTGAGTTTGTGCTGTTGGTGAAATTATTATTTTTGCTTCCTGTGTAAAAAGTTTGTGCATCAGTTTTAAAGGATAATGAGTATTTATTTATTTATTTATTTTTCGTTTGTTATCACTAATCAACAGCTTTCTGTGTCTGTGCTTATGGGTTACGGATGCCACTCGTTAACCAAGCTAGCTAGTGCTTACGGCTCAGGTGTGGTCACATGGTGGTGACTAAATGTCAAGTTTGTGCCAAGTCATTTCCTGTTTACTGTTTTTGTCAGTCTGTTTGTTTCGGTCAGTTTTACTTGTTTCTTTTTGTAGTGTTATGTTCTCGCTGTTGTGTCCCCTCCCTGTTAGCTAACACCTGTTGACACCACCTCATCGTCATGTTTCCAGGCTTTGGTAAATGGATTGGTTCTTGTATAGCACTTTTCTACTTCTACTTCACTATAAACAACATGTCTCATTCACCTGTTCACACTCACATTTACACAAATACTTTTTTTTCCGGCTTGTCGTTCTTTTCTATTTTAGTGTCCTGCCCAAGAATACTTTGGCACGCAGACTGGAACAGCCAACGATCGAACCACCAACCGTCCAAAGCTGTCTTTACATCTTTTAGATACAGTCTATGGCTTTTACTGACCTTTCTACACTGGAGTTTACAGCACTATAATTTGCCAGCATTTTCTTTTTTCATAAACATTTCTGATGTGGATCTCTCATACTGGTTTTATTCATTGTGAGTATGTTAATGTCTTTAAAATGCCACTCAGAGGCTTATTGACTGATACGTGCTTCACTTTCTGTTTAACAATTTAGCTTTGAACTAAAGAAATGTTAATAATGAGATAATAAGTTAAATAAAAGAAATCATTAGTTTAAAATCAGAATAGTTCGCTTGTCCAGCATCCTGCATGTTACATGGTTGTAAGCTTTTTT